TTTTTTTTGGATCAAATCCCAGCAACTTGATGCGAGTTTCACACTTGGAGAACCCATGAGAGGTTGAGAGGGTCTCAACCGCCGACCCTTTTTCGACGTGGCAGTTCAGGGTGCCGAGGCCACCCGGTTTGACCGGGCGTTTTGTTGAAACGACGAGGTCTCAGGGTGGTCAGGGGTGTATTTTTCTTGGAACCTGTTTGCGAAGGTGCTGCTTTTGGATCTCAAGCTTCCGGGTGGCACCGGTAACCCCGGTGACCCGGTGATCCCCCGGCTTCTTTCCATCATTTTCTCCATAGCGATGGCCTCCAACCTACTCTAGCCATGGCACCCTACAAGTGATGGCCTACCCTGAATTGCTCTGGTTTCTCGTTCACATGACCCGGCCTGTCCGACCAGGTGCTGACCTCGTTCCGCTGGACTTTCTCTTCAGGAGGTGGGGGAGATCGGGGCCATCATATTTTCCGGGAGAAGGGGTAAAACACATTGTACTATTCCCACATTGATGGTGAACAGTTAGATGATAGATGGTCAGTGGTGGTTGTGGTTGGTCTTCATCATGTTCTTGTTCTTCTTTCTGGAGGTGCTTTGACCAATCTCGATGCAGATGTTATGGAACAATTTCTGTTTACGAAGCCTGTGTGACCCCGGGCTTCCACAGACAATAGTTAGCCTTGAGATTGTGTCATAGATAGAACGTTGCCACCATATTTGGTGAATGTATGGAGTGGTTGCATGACGCAAAGCGACACATGCGGGCCAGTGCACATGTTTCACCGATACCCTGGACGGTGGGATTGACTTTGCGAGATGTTCACTGGCCAGAGGGATAGCGGCAAGTCGAATTCGCAGAACCTGGCGCCAACTGCAATTTGGAGGAGGTTGCCCTAGCCCTCCTCAGAAACAAAGACCCGACATTTGGCAAAGGCATCCACGATAGACAAAGTATCCTCGTCACTTCCGTTTTGACCGACTACCCGAGAACAAGGAGGATCATGTCAAACATTTGGAGATGGGGGCATCAGCTTCCCCTGAAAGGGGGCAGCTGTCTTGAAACACTTTTTGAGTATGTCAAACAAGGCCTTGCTTATCGTAGTCTACAAGTCACAAGAAACGCCGGTCGTGACCGACCCTCAAAACCAGCCTTCCGGGAAGCAGCAGGCGACGGCGATCGCTCGCGAAGCATTCGGCCGCGACGCCAGGTTTGATCGTCATGGTCAGAGGCTCCTCTCCGAAAAGGAGGTTCACCGCCGCAACGGGATGAACACCGCGGAGCAGGAGTGTTTTTGGTCAGGTTTTCGCAACTTTTGATATCACCACCCTTTGAAGATTGGAATCTCGAGAGGGGTAAAAATCCTCTTGAGATTCCATTGATGGTTTCAATGTGGGCCTTTTTTTTTGCCTTATTCCGAATTCCCCAAACGGAACAGTGTGGTCACATGATTTGGGTCCTAATTATCGGATATTGCCGGCATCGTCGCGGACATTTGGGCCTGTTGTTCAGGTGCAGAGTATTGTAGGATCTTGATGAATAATTGATCCCCCCCAGACATGGATTGAATAACCTCTTCAAGCCTGGGGGGTTTATGAATATATAGGTTGGAGGCCATTGCTACTAGGTTGGAAGAGTGGACTGCGACCTTTTTCTCTTGTTTGGAGACAGGCCCCTTCATGTCACAATTTGTTGACCTGGATTGGTGCTATTCTCATCACCTGCAGGTGATGTACCCTTCTGACATGGGTATTCCATGGGTATTTGGAAAACCACCTGTTTCTATTGTGTAGGCCATGCCATCCACTTGGAACGAGAGTTGCTGCGCATCGTTCGCGTTCACACGAGCCCAGCGGAGCCGGACGAGTTCGCCGGAAAACGGGTTCTCCTCGAAAGAGCCTTGTTGGAGCGACTGAGTGGATAGCATGGATCTAAGAAGTTCACCAATGCCAGTCACAAATGGGGTGCCTTTGAAGCGCTCCTGATTTTTTGGCGGGGGGTGTTCAAGATAAGACTGGTGGGAACTCCTTTGAAGAGTACCCTGGAAGTCCAGTCGACGATTCTGGTCTGACTAGGTGACCTGAGTCAAGGAGTTTCCTTTACTTCGGTGGCGCCCCAAAAAATCGCCGAACTGGACTTCTCTTCGGGTGCCATCAAGAGAGGCTCGCTGAGAGGAAAGCATGATGCCTGGCTTCCGCGAGCCGTGCCAACCGGAAGATCCGAACGTCGGGCGATGCCGAGAGAGCCTCGAGAGCCACGAGATCTCGGGCGATGCCAAGATCGAGATCGGGCCTGTACCCAAGATATCTTTTGTGCTTTGATCTTGAACACTGATGTAGATCGGGCTTTGATCTCAAGATATCTGATGGATGATTTATTCATCTTCGATGTAGTGATATTTTGGTGTCCAAGATCGATATCTAAATGTTTGTCCTTCACTTCCCAATCACGACCTGTCTGGGACCGCCATATTTGCCGCCGGATTGGCCATGGGGGTGGTTGACCAAAAGGGTCGGTCTTGACCTGGGGTGGGGTGGGGTGGTTACGCATGGACCTGCCAGACCTGGCAGGTCCATGCAGGTCCGTTCGTCACGACCTGCCGTTCGTCACATCGCAGGTGCTCAACCTCTTAGTTGCCTGCGGCGCAGATGCACGACTCCTCCGCTCGGATCTCATGCCGGGGGCCTTGAGGTATTTCGGAGGGAGTTTCGGACCAGGATGGTGTGGAAGGTGGAGCTTGACGTATCGACGTATCTATAAATACATATTATATATAAGATGCATTTAACTGTCACATTGGCATAGTCTTCAAAGAAAAAGCACACACGCATCATCACACATCATCACGCATCTATATGGCTTGCATTCATGTCTAGGTCGGTCTTGATCGAGTTTCTGTGGCAGAACACAGGGCCACCCTGGTTTCAAGGACTGGACATGAAGATGCTGAAGGTCCCATAGGAACTGAGCGAAGGAGTAGAGGAACTGAACATTACCTTTTCACTGAACGGGAGATCACGTTCTGCTTGAAGAACTCTCTTCTCATGGGTTTGGGGAGGGTCTGTTCACCCCCTACAAGATGAAGACATACTCAAGATGGATCAATCGAGAGATGTACTCAACATGTTCCTGTCGAAGCCTGTTCATGATGTTTAGGCAAATCATTAGGCACGTGCAAAGATGATTTTACTTGTGCTCTCGACGAGATGATTGCTTGCAACCAGCAGTGTGATGCAAGAAAGCATAAGAAAGCATATACACACCCTATATGTAACATGGTTGGACATTACGGCTGACTTGCAGACATAAGCAGTCATCGGGCGGATTCAGGCGGTCAAATTCGACACACTGGCAGCACACGGCAAACACTTTGTCAGCAACCTAATGGCGACATAGGATCTATTTTTGCAAGACCAGCTTGAACCCGACTAGACTCCTGGTCTTTTCTGCCCATGGCAGTGAAACTTCTACCAGGAGTCACAAAGGGGTGGTGTTTAGTCCCTAAGTGTGTGGATAATGGGCACCCTTAACCTCCATTAAGCACCCCTTTGTGACTGCTGGTATAGGTTCTTTATTTGGAACCCTTTCAAACCCCAACCATCACGGACGCTCAACGCCGTGTTTGTCGCTCCAATGGCGTGGCTCCCGGTCGCCGCCGTGGTGCCGCTGCTCGCGGGACCTGCGCGGCGTGGGTCTCGATGTGAGGAACGACCCCTGCCCAGGTAGGCGACCGTGGAGGTCGCGTGTGTGGTGTGGAGGTCGCGTGTGTGTGCGCTCTCCTCGAAACGACCTGGTTGAAAGGGCTCCGTTGTTCAAGGGAATGTTTGGTACCAAACCGGAGTTTGGCTTGGGTCAAAAAGGATCGCTCCGTTTCAACATGTTGGGCCATGTCTCAACCCAACGAATTACGTGGGCTCATATGGTGCTGGGTTCGTGTGGGATATACCCAATGTAAATGGCAGATTTGGTAACCTTTAGACTTTAGGTCACCATGTACGTTCCATGTGAGGCCACTTTCAAGTCCCCACTGGGTGGGTGGGTAGGTGGCCAAGGAAAGAAAAGAGCGATTGGGTGTCGAGGGTTTCTCAGCAGATCATGTGGCCTGCGAGGTGTGACGTTCCTTTTTGGTCGAATCATCGCCTTGTGACCGACTCGTAGGCGACTCCGAAACACTCCCCTTCGCAGCAATGGCCTCCATCCTCCACCCTTCGCATTTGACGCGAGATGCACCACTCCCTATCCCTCTTCGCATCCACGCGGACTCCTTCTCACCCCGTTCTTCACGGGCGGCGAAGCCGTTCGCCGCGGCCAGGTGGTTCCTGGGCACCAGTCAGGATCCGAGTCGACAGGCGTGGGCCGGTCAGACCGGTCCTCAGAACCGGGTCGGACCCGTCCGAGTCGTGGGTGGGCGAGGATCTGTTTGGATCCAAGGCCGAAGTGATCGGATCCTGAGGACGTTCCGTTCCGTTCTGTAGGATGTTCTGTGTTTTAATGGTTGGATGAAGAAGATGAGCCAACACGCAAACATGGATGAAATCCGAGTGTTTTGAGTTCCAGCCCCGTCTAGTCCTTCAAAGGAACGGGTTTTTACCTAGCAAAGTGGATCATTCACATCGAAACAAAGTGGAAAGAGAAGGACCGATGCTGACCTCTAGGGTATTCAATCTGTCAAAAGGAAGGAATGGTTATGTGGACATGGGTCTTGATTCCCGTCTTTCCGTTCCCAGGAGAAGATTCAAGCGTACGAGGCAGCTCAGGCTGGCAGGTCCGTTTTTGGCCACTTTGAAGAACATATATAAATTTATGTTACTGGTGCTGGGGGCTGTTAAGTTGCTTGGGGACCGTCGTTCGTTGTTTCGGGGGAATTAGCGCAGAAGAAGTGTTTTTGACCCTTGCGGACCTCTGAAGAATTGGTTGTTCAGAACTAAGAGAGGGTATAAAACACGTCTTGTTTTTTGCGTTGTTAGTGGCAACATACGAGACCCAAAGGACTATTTCATAGGTTTGTTTGTCTCGTGAGTGGTGAGTGAACGGCCATGGTAAAAGCTTTGTAGACGTTGTAAACCTTTGTAAGTTTGTTTGTAATTCAACAACTCTGTCAACTCTTTGCAAAAGTTGCAAACTTTGTGCAAAATCTTAAGACTTTGTGAAAGTTTGGTAAACTTTGTATAACTTTGTAAAATAAAAAACTTTGTAAACGTTCTAAAAACTGTGTAAAACGTTGCTCTAACTTTGAAGAATAGTTTGAAGAACTCCAAAACTTCGTAAAAGGTTTGTAAACCTTTTTACAAAGTTTGCGAATTTTACAACGTCTTAATAAAGTTTTACCAAGTTCTTACAAAGTTTTACAAGTTTAAAGGTTGACAAAGCTTACAAAGTTTGACAAAGTTTTAAAACTTTTTACAAAGTCTACAAAGTGTTGACAAAGTTTACCAAGTTTATACCAAGTTCACTACGTTTTTACAAGGCTTTCAAAGTTGGTACAAAGTTTACAAAGTTTACAAAGTTTTGAAGATTTTATGAAGTTTGCAAAGTTTTACAACCGTTTACCAAGTTTACAAAGTTTACAATATTTTAACACAGTTTACAAAGTTTTGAACAATTTCCAAAGTTTACCCAGTTTACAAAGGTTTTACCATTAAACAATCAATTAAAGACGTATTGAAAGTTTTACAATGTTGCTGCAATGTTGACAAAGTTTTTACAAAGTTTACACAGTTTTAAGTATTGAAAGTTTACAAAGCTTGTGCAAAGTTTATTTTTTTAACAAAGATTGCAAATTTTACAATTTTACATGGAGTTTTTTCAAAGTGTACAAACATTTGCAAACTTTACACAGTATTTACATAGTTTACAAAGCTTTCACAAAATTTGCAAAGTTTATACAGTTTACACAGTTTTTGCACAGTATTGAAAGTTTACAACGATTTTAGACAGCTTTGGAATTTGACAAAGTTCTTGCAAAGTTCGGAATTTACACAGTTTTTCAATTTTTACAGAGTCTACAAAGTCTCACAAAGTGCTTACAAAGTTTTCAAAGTTTTTACAAAGTTTACAAAGTTGTACAACGTTTTTACAAAGTTTACAACAGCTTTTTCAAGTTTACAAAGTTTTTACAAAGTTTACAAAGTTTTTACAAAGTTTACAAAGTTTTTCAAAGTTTACAAAGTTTTTACACAGTTTACAAGGTTTTTACAAAGTTTTTCAAAGTTTACAAAGTTTTTACAAAGTTTACAAAGTTTTTACAAAGTTTACAAATGGCTGGTGAAAAGCACTTATGTTTACAACAAATGACATGAAAAACACATCTTTTTAGGCAAAAAATCGTGCAAAAACACTTCTTTCACAGAACTTTACAAAGTTTTACAAAGTTTTTACAAAGTTTACATAGTTTACACAGTTTTTACAAAGTTTTTACAAAGTTTACAACGTTCTGACAAAGTTTGCGACATTTGCCTTTTGTTACACAAATTTACAAAGTTTTTACAAAGTTTACAAAGTTTTGAAGATTTTGGAAAGTTCACAAAGATTTTGCCAAGTTTACAAAGTTTTGCAAAGTTTACAGAGTTTCGACAAAGTTTACAAAGTTTTGACAACGATTACAAAGTTTTGATTGTTTATTTATTTGCAAAGTTTACAAAGTTTCTTTCTACATTTTACGAAGTTTTTACAAAGTTTGTACAGTTTCACAATTTGTACAAAGTTTTGAGGAAATTTACAAAGTGTTCAAAGTTTACAAAGTTTTCACAACGTTCACAAGGTCTTTCACAATGTTTACAATGCTTTGACAAAGTTTGCGAAGTTTAAAAACTTTTTACAAAGTTTGCAAAGTGCTACGAAGTTTATAACGGTCCTTTTTTAAAATGAGTTTACGAAGGCCTACAACATCTAAAAGTTGTTTACAAAGTTTACAACATGTTAGTACAAAGTGTACAAAGTTTGCAATCTTTACAAACTTTTTGACAAAGTTCACAAAGTTTTGACAAAGTTTACAAGTGTTTACAAAGTTTTGACAAAGTTTTCGCATTTTACAATTTTTTACACAAAGTTTTCGCAGTTTTTTACGCAGGTTTACAAAGTGTACAAAGTTTTTACAAAGGTTTACGAAGTTTAAAGTGTTTCAGTGTTTAAAAAGTTTTACAATTTTAACAACAGTTTACGAAGTTTTGACAAAGTTTGCAATCTTTTTCAATCTTTACACAGTTGTTGCAGAGTTTTGAAAGTTTACACAGTTTTAGAATTTCACCAAAGTTTCTACAAAGCTTACACAGCTTTTACAAAGTTTACAAAGTATTTACAAAGTTTACAAAGTTCTTACAAAGTTTACAACGTTTTGCAAAGTTTTCAAATAATAAAGTTTACACAGTTTTGACACAGATTAAAAAAAACGAAACTTTGTAGAAAGTTTGTAAGCATCAAACACTTTTGTAAAAGCTTTGTAAAAGCTTTCAAACTCAATAACTTGGTAACAACTTTGTAAAATTCCAAAACTTGTTCAAAGCTTGATAAATGTCCAAAGCTTTGTTCAGATATCTAAAGGTTCAATACTTTGTAAAAACTTCGTAGTTCCAAAGTTTTGTAAAATTCAATGTACTGTAAGTGTCCAAAACTTTGTGAAGTTTGTTATTTCTATTTTTAAACTTTGTAGACTTTGTTAAAACTTTGTAATGCAAAAACTCGGTAAAAAAAGTTGTAATTCCAAAACTTTGTCAAATTTTTGTAAAGATCCAACACTTTGTAAACACTTTGTAGGAAGTTTGTTTGAAGACCTGCGAAAGCTGTTCAAGAAGAGCTGATCTTTGGATCAGTGAGACTGCTTGCATTTTTTTGTTAAAAAAACGGCATTTGGTGCTTGCGCTTTGGGAATTTGTGACTGATGGCTGTAGTGTTTCAGGGTATTGAGGGTGAGAAGAAGGGTCGAATGGTTATTGGTTGTGCAAGTGTTTTAAGACTTGGCCACGGAAACACCAAAACACTTCTTTCATTTTTTCCAAATAACATTGGTGCAAAACACTTCTTGCGAGCAAAAACACTAAACTCAAGCAACTTAACACTGGGGGCTCTGTAGATTTTGAATGGTCTTTTGGATGGAGCAGTAGAATACCCGAATCTTGGATGAATCCAGGAGATTTGGTTTTCTTTACGGCTTGAGCCATCAAACCCAAAAGACCAGAGGACTTTCTGCAGCTGGCATTCGCTCACAAGTGGTTTTAGTGTCCCCTTTTGCAGCCTCGCACTTTTGCGACGTTGTCAAGAAAGCGCAGGGTGGACCTGTCTTTTTCTCAGAACAAATGCCGCTGGAAACGGATCGACCATGATTTTGTGACCAAAACCTTAGAAGTCCAGTTCGATTATCGTTGACACCACCGAAGTGAAGAACACTCCTAGACTCCGGTCAGTTAGTCAGACCACAAACAATTACAAACATATAGTGTTCAACTTCTATAATTCCCATCACAGTTTGGGCAGTCTCAAAAAAGGCAAACATCCTCGCCCGCCCCCAATAAGGAAACCTCGGTCGCATTTTGTTTAAATAGGGGGTCCCTGAAATCGGGGTTGTCCAATATAGGGTCACCTGGGAAGAGCTTCAAAACCAAAAAGTCACCCAGGAAGTTTTTATATAAATAACTTCCTTTATTAAAGTCGTATCCAAAAATAAATAAGCCTCCAGATGGAAGGGTCCTCCTTTTCCCCTACAAAAACCTTTACTAGAATAGTGATTCTTCATTAGACTAACAACTAAAGCTTTCGCAAGGTGATGTCGATGTGCCATGCGGTTTTGCGTGATCTCGGTGGAAAGTGCGTTTGCGCGAGTCCGTGCCATTGGGGGAAGGAAAGCCTGCTGGTGTAAACACGGCGTGTCATGGTGGATAGACAGGGTCATCGACAGAGGTGGGCAGCTACGGTTGTTTTTGGAACCAAACACAGCTCCTCCAACATCGGCCATGTTGGTAGTAGCGGCTTTAAAGGGCGGTAACTTAAAAGCGCATATAAGCCGTATTTAAGGGGTTCCGACATGACTTTCCTTTAAAAGCTGGGGTCCGTTTTTTGAAGGGCGGCAATATGAGCAAAGTGCTAAAGGTCGGCACTCACGGTTCTTCAAAAATGAGCAATTTGCATTTTCCTTGAAAAAACGATACCAATCCCAAAAACGATACCTAGCCTTGTGACGGTACACATCTTGGACATTCTTGGAATCTATCTTTGCCTGTTGACAATGTTGACACTCGAGACTCGAGACAGTGTATGTCCAAGGTTGTTTTGCATATGGTTTGCCATGCTAGCTGGACATTCCATTTCATTTTTGCTAAGTTTCCCTTCTTTTTCTTCGATGGGAAACAATTATGGGTTCAGACCGATACCAAAAACGATACCAAACGATACCCACTTCATAGGTCTGTATCCCCTCAGACACCACCTGCCCACTCACATGCCACTACTACTGCCACTACTTCTATTTCTGCTACCACTACCACTACCACTACCACTACCACTACCACTACTACTACTACTATTACTACTACTACTACTACTACTACTACTACTAGTACTAGTACTAGTACTAGTGCACGACGACTACTAGTCATCATTTGCAAGATCACCTTCCAGAGCAATTTACATTTAGACGATACCTCCCCCAAAATATTGCATATGGATTGAAAAATCGATACCAATCCCAAAAACGATACCATGCTCTAAACCTACCACCAAACGACCCCTAGTTTTGCCGGTCGCTCATATACCCCCTGGAAGTTCAATCACTATTTCTGGCGCCACCGAAGTAAAGGAAGCCCCTGGACTCGGGTCACCGTTGGTCAGACCACTTTCAAAACAGTCGACTGGAGGCTTCCACGGCGGCGCAGCGGTGCAACGCAGCACTGCCCGGACGAACGCCGGGGAAAGGCTTCAGGCGCATGTTAGTGGTGCCAATGGAGAATTGTTTTAGTAGCTGCTTGTTACTGGTAGTGTGGCCAGGGGCCAGGAGCCCCTAATAGCTTCTTGTTACTAGTAGTAAGCCAGAATGCTCCTAGTAGCCCCTAGTTGCGTCCTTGCTCCTAGTAGTAAGGCCAGGAGCTCCCAGTAGTTTCTTTGTTCCCTTTTTCCAAAGGGGCGTATAGGGAGGTCTCCCTCTGTCAATGCACTTCCATATGGGACATTATGGGACGGGGGAGTCGTTATGGAAGAGTGATCCTGAGTTGACCTCCAAACCCCTGATGTGAGCAAAGAGACGCAAACAGCCGGGGTTCTCCCTTCAGCATGGGCATTTCCTTTTTTCCTCTTCATGTGAACACAATCTAAATATAATGATTGACATTGTGTTCAACCATTTAAACAGACAGCTGCGTGGTTGATCTGGTGTTGTGCCAGGTGGTTACAAACTTCACGCGTCGGACACAGACACGCCCAAGCACGCGCCCCTCGCACGCCGTTTTCTGCAACACGCCTGGTTATTCTGTGGTTTGAGGGGCCTCCGGTACATCGCAATATGATATGAGGGAACATCAAACACTCAATTTAACACCAAAAACACATTTTTTCCCATTTGAAGGTTCTTTTTCATGGAACTCTCGCAGTGGCGGACTCCATGGCGAAAACGGTTTCGTGTGATCTTCTTGGCGGACGAAGGTCCATGCCGTCCCGCTGTTCACAGCGATCGGTGTCGAATCGACAGCGCGCAGGTTGGTGTCCTACAACGTGCATTTCCACCGAGATAGCCAGATGAAGCCGCCGCTTGTGATTTTTCGTGCAGGGACGGTTTCGGGTTTAGGGAGACTCGTGACAGTTGAGTTCAGTGGAAAAAAGAACATATTGGATCCTGGATCGTATTGGATCGCGGAACTTTTATCCTGTCTCAACTAGTGATCTGGACCTCAGGGTCCACAAGTCAGTCTGCAGGATTCTGTAGGTCTGGAGGCTGGAGGCTCTTGATAGGTCTTTATAGGTCGGGTTTGTGGTGCTTATGACTCACAACCCCCCCTGGAATCTTCATGGAAGTGGCAAACCACCTATTTGTTGACATAGGCCATGCCATCCACTTCACCTTGTTGGTTCGGGGTCGGCCGTCGGTTGACGCAAGGAATCTGTCGCGAGTGCTGAATGTCTTGAAGACATTGGATGCGGATGTGGTAGCTCTGCAGGAGCGCCATTGAGTCGAGTAACTCGACGAATGTGTCCAGCCTGGAGATGATTTAGATGGGTGTTGAAGAACAAAACACTCGTTTTTCTTCGTCGATGTTTTGGTCAAGCCTTGTTGCGAGAGAATCCTTAGACGAGACGGTCAAAATGCCCACCTTGTGGTGCTCACAGGAATTATGTGTCCTTTGGGGGAACCCCTTTCAATGGTTTTGACATGTTTTGACCATGACATGATTTTGACCACCCCTTTCAATCGCCCGAAGTGGCGATGACCTTGGGATTTGGAACTTGACGGCTCTTTGGCTTGAAGGTCTCGAAACACGCCGTCCAGTCCCAGCAACCGTGAGACAGCAAAGCAGTCGTTACGACCGTCGCCACCGACCAGTCCGGCATCTAGATCAACAAACAATAAAAAGAACATCAAACAAAACATAAAAATATGATCAAACAAAATGATATATAAAGGATAAAACAACATATTCCTTGATAGGCCTCTTCTGCTGCTCTCCTGGCCCTGTGGTCTGCGGGTCCTCTGGTCCTTTGGTCCGCTGGTCCACTGGTCCTTTGGTTCCGTGGTCCCTTGGTCCTTTGGTCCCTTGGTCCTCTGGTCCACAGGCCCTTTGGCCCCCTGGTCCTTTGGTCCTGGTCCGGTCCCATGGTCTCCTGGTCCTTTGCCCTCCTGGTCCTCTGGTCTGCGGGTTTCCTATGGTTTTCTCCTTGTTCTTTCACTGATGCTTTTTGATTCCTTTGGTCCTTTCTCTTGTAGCTTATTGGCCGCAGTTTTCCTGCAAACGTACAATGTTTTTGGCTTCGCCTTAGGTCCTTTTGTGCACTTTTTGATGCCCTTCACTGAAAGGGCGATAGGGTGCATAGTTTCTAGTGATTTCTTTTATGGTGCTGTGTTTTAATGTTTCGTTCGCTTTAGGGGGGAGGCGCTGCGCCCTCCCCCCAACCTCCCTCCAGCACCACGAAATCTGCACTCTTGCACTGCGCCTGCCACGAAAACTAACTATGTAAAGGGTCGCCCATCGCATTTGCAGATTGTCCTCCTCTTGTGTGGGGCTAGCATATGTTGTTTTGATTCCTTCCTTTTTGTTGATCCCCGTTGAATATGTTTTGATGTCCTTTGTATCTTCTTTTGATCCCTTACCCGTCCAGTCCCAGTCCCAGGCACAGCATACTTGGCAGACATATATGACTCGTATGACTCCCGATCAGGCCAGGGGTGGTTGATTTTCGGGTCAATGTATGTATAGTATTTCTTCTGTACATTGTAGACTCGGAGTTTCTTTTGAATTTGAGAAGAACCTCGGACTCAGGATGACTGACCGTTCGCCATCAAACCATCCTGGCAGGTTGTGGTATGTTCTTTTTCACAGCCGCACAGACATTTTCTGCGTCCTATCCCCTTAAATGAGACGACCATCGATCCAAAAAGACAGACATGCACCAACCTGAACACCAGTTGGACTCATGTTTTGGTTGTTTTTTTTTCAAGATGTCCGGGTTGGTCAATCCCATTATGACCAACTTCCGTGGATCTTAAGATCTGCTTTGAACTTGAGAGCCGGTCAGGAGGCGGGCCTTCCGCCCCATCTGGAGAAGGACAGGGGGAGGCCGGGACCCGAGGTTCCAAAGCTGGCCCAGCTGCAAAAGCTGGAGCCAGTCAACTGCGCAGTTGTAGCCAGTCAACACAATCAGAGGAAGTAGGTCAGTCTGATGTCCGATTTTCGACTCCGTGTTCCACCCTGATCTCCGAGTTGGAGTGACATGGGCGGACAATCTGTTTGTCCCTACCATTGCTTCTTCGATTGCTGAGCTCATGACAGAGGTCTTTCAGCAACTGTCCAATTCACTGATGAACTGTTCTGGTGTCATGGCTTCACTCTCAATTAGTCGAGAGGGTTTTGGATCATGAGGAGTTTCATAAAACCGGCGTGACACATTTTGGAACTCACTGTAAACGTGGCTCCGTTAGATGACAGATGCATACCGCACGAGCTTCCAGCCATGCAACATGTATTGTATGCCGACCGTGGCTGGCTTTCAGATGAAGTTGGGCAGAAGTTGTGCATAGTTGGAAGATCCAGGTATAGATGCGGTATGAGGCTTTTTGTGTAGCCTTCTGTGGGACCAATTCAACGAGTTCGGTTGACCTGGCTTGTAATGTAGAATCCTTCCTATTTCCAATGGTTGTTCCGGAGTCCGGCTGTTAAATCAATGGTCAGTGGTTCGTAGACTCTTGGAGTTCAAGCGTCGCCAAGCGTCGGAGGGTATACCTGTTGGTCAATTGACTGTTTCTGTGTATGTTTTCGACCAGCATCCTCACTGCCAGGTCTCGTTCGGTTTGGAAGGGCCCGATCAAACAGGTCTCAAATTGACACAGTGAGGATGGAGCAGGTGTGTTTCGATCGGGAGTGTAACATTTGTACGCTTCACTTGCCTTCACGGTTTGGTCCGCCGAAACAACCTGATCAGCTGGCATCCTCCACCCTCACAGTGTGATATGCTGTTTTAATGAAGTCTGGTGAAGTCAGCCGGCCAGAGCAGGCCACGGAAACTCACCAGCGAAGAGGCACTTCTTCAGTGGGGAGCCAGGGCTGTCAACCATTCCAACATATTCCAACCCTCTCCAACCCATCGTTGGTCATCATTTCCTTCCATTTTGGGATGTACATCACCAAACTCCTCAGCACACTCGGATGTTGACCCGAATGTTGGCGTTAGGTGCGCCACCGGGGCGCCAATTCATCAGACCCAGTTTCGTTTCGCATCAGGCGGAGGTAGTTGTTGATGCTTGGGGAGTCAAGTATTTCAAAAGACACACCTAACCATTAACCATGGCCTTCTGTTCACACAAAGGGCGTCTTGGACTTGGTGTTCTGAATGCTTTCGATGTTTCCGCATGGGACAGGGGCACGAACCCACCAATTTCATGGATGTATAGGTGGTTCGACATTTCACACAAAGGCTCAGCTGCTTTAGGCTTTAGTAGTTCTAAGAATCAATCCAAATGACTCACATTGGATGTGTAACTTGAGCATTCTGACCGGCCAATGGGTCGATTGACGACTTCACGGCGGGGCACGGCGCCCATCACGTCGCGAACACCGGGCGTTGCACGGACCGGAACGCAACGGAACCCATCGACGTCGCCCATCAACACAGAGACAATATATATATATATATACCAGCACCACGGAAAGAGTGTCCATTAATGGCCCCTTAGAGGTCAAGGTGTCCATCAACCACCCCTTGGAAGTCCAGGTATATATAAATATATATACCTAGACCCCATTTGACCTCTGTTTTGATAGGAAAAGACCATGTTTTGGCTCCAAAACAGGGGTCAATCAGGTTCTAGGTATATATTTCGATCTCCACTCGGACTGGTCGAGCACGACGAATGGGACGCATGGGAGAGTCCGTAAAAACGGGTCGTCACGTAACGACCTTGGAACTCTGGAGCACGGCCAATGGGTCGATGACGGCTGCAGGTCGATACCACTCAGTCGTTGGAATCACAGATGAGGCAACCCACGTCCTGACGCTTTTGGGAGGGTTGGCTGCCAGTCGGTGGCATGGAGCAGGATGGACATGCGGTGCGCATCGCATGTGGTTCCCAAGTGTTTCCTCCATATCCCATATCAGTCGGGTTCCAGGGATTTCCCATCGCGTTTTCTCGGCTTGAGTCATCCATCAGCCTCACTGTGACCCCCGCTTGTGCGCGACTTTGGAGTGTGGGATGTGAGCGGAGCTCAGGATGTGCGCTGCTCACAGCGGGATGGTTCGATGTTTTCACAGCTCACCTGGTCCACCACACCAAAAGACTGGGCCTGACGGAGATGAAACACATATCCTGGCAAGAGACCCTAAAAAGCGTCTAGAGTCTAGAGGTCCAATATCTAGAGGTGTAGAAACAGAAGTCTAGAGCAGATCTAGATGTATTGGGCTCAGAGATATCTAGAGGTCCAGAAAGCCCTAAACGCCTAGACATCCAAAGAGATCCAGCGTCTGCAGGTCTAGATCTGCAGATCTAGAGATGTAGAGAGGCCTTGGGACCCAGAGATATGACGCCTCTCTACAATCTTAGAGAGCTAGAGTTTAAGGTCTAGAGTCTACAAGATCTTGAGACCCAGACAGATCTAGGTAGTTCTTGGAGGTGAGACCCAGCAGTGTAGAGCTGGAGATGAGCTGCTACAGGTAGCTCAGGTAGGTCTGCACCTTAGAGATCCAGAAGTCTCTGCGTCTAGAGGTCTTGAGGTCCTAGAGGCCTAGAAACCTAGAGGTCTCAAGGTCGCGTCTAGGTGGAGGGAGACGTCGAAAGATCTGGAGGGCCTGGAGAGCACACATGTGCACTGAGAGCACTGCCGTGCTGCGCCACGAACTCTGCTGCGCCGAACTACACGAACTCTGCTTATCAAGGTTCGCATCGTGCAACCCTGCCAAGGCGCAAAACGCAGCAAGAGCAATTCCAACTACAACATCCCCTAGGGATCCACATACCTTCTCAGAAGGTACTTGGGCCCTCCTGGCGCCTACATAAATAGTCTCCAATCACCTCAACCTGAGAAGGTACGACTGGATCCCTAGGGATCAAAATGCCCAGCTTTCGAAGCCCTCCGATCTCTGAAAGGGAACTGAGTCACGCGCAACACTGCACTGGCCACGAACAAATAGAGAGCGCGCCGAACAGCACCACCCAGACGCGACCCTGGACCCTCCGTTCAGTAGGGGCCGGACCCGAATCGTCGGGTCAGGGGTCCGGACCTGAACCAATCCCCTAGGGTTTTGAGGGACCAGTCGGGCTGTGAAGGGTCGCGTTTGGGCATGTCCAAAGTGGCAGTGCCTGCCACGATCTCTGCACATCGAAGTAAACCCGCAGAGCGCAGTCTCGGAAAGCAGCCACACTTTGGCGAGGCGAGGCCAGTCGAAATGCACAAGATCTCGAGGTGAATGATTGGAATGTACCGCAAGTAGCAGCCGAGGGTAGCACTTCGATCGGACACACGGCTTGAACTCTTACCGAGACAGAGCCCCTGAGAAAGATGTGGGTGATGAAATCGGTTCCAAGCTCCCAGGTGAAAGGTCCCCGGTCCCCACCAAATCGATCCCTTTTGGCGTGCGGCACGCGCGCCCGTTCTCGAGAGGCAGGTCTATGAAAGCCAAGAACAGGAGGTGGTGGGCACTTCTCACGAGGGCGCGCTGCTCTTGGAGGGCTTGCACCAACTTGGCTACCAGCATTGCAGCCGGGCAGCACAAAAGGGAAGTGCAGCAAAACTTGGAGGTGGTCAAGGTGATGGTCATGGCATGAGTTGGGTTTATAGGGAGATCAGATCTTATTGAGCTTCACAAACATTTGTGTTCACTCCACGGAGTACTGCATTTGCAAGGGGAATCCCTACTCAGGACTGAGGAGGAAGCATATCCAAGTTGATGCACGTTGTTGATGGCTAAGGAGTGGACATGGGCTTGCCCTGACCAAGCATCACGAACACAAGAGTCACCAACAAACCCATCTTTGTTGGGAGAGCGGCGAGTTGCACATGCAGTGTTCGATGAAAAATGATCAACCCCACCATGCACGACAAGAAGACACAATGATCCGCTTTTCTGGTTTAAGTCTGGAGTGGGCCTCAAGTGATTGGTCCCCCAAGTTTGAAAAGTGCATCTTCTGAACTCAAACGATCACCAGTGAACTTGTATGCACCGAGATACTAAGACTTGTATGCATTTGAATTGTTCGATCGATCTTCAGATAGAAGATGTTCCACATCTTCATGCCCCGAAGTGATGGTCAGGGCTAGCAGAGAAATTGCTGGAAGTGTATCACCCCACCCTAGCCTCCCAAGACTCCTTTGAACATGGTTGACCTGGTTTCGTAAGGTCCTAAAACAATCAATGGTGGCTCAGAATGGTGGGCCTCTGGAATCCATGGTGGGTTTCATACGTCCGGGCAGACGGCGTCAGAGGCCCTAGTCCATCCGACTGGTCGAGTCGGTCGGTGGGCCCATCTCTGCAGTGAAACCACGAGGGTCGCCTTTGAGTCCCAGTGGTTCCAGTTCGACCAAACCATATAGACATCCATTATAGACCGGTTCCGATTGGCCCCTGGTTCCTCACACCTAGTGGGATGCACTGGGATGCACTGGGGTGGGCCGGTGTGAGGAGTGGGGAAGTGCCATTCCCGATTGGTGAAAACCAGCTCCAGGCCATGAGGTCCCTCGTCGACGTCGGTTCGTCAGAGTGTTTTCGGGAAAGAGTCGACGTGACTTGACACTGAGGTGTCTATTCTCCTGGCTTCTATAGCAGCTCCTTGGTGCAAGAAATACAAAGGAAACACTGAAAGGTGCTCCTCCATCATGGCTTCACTTGATCACATCACATCACATGCCTCATGTATACACTCGAATTTCAACAGCCTTGTCACCCATCCCTTCATGTTTCCCCTCTTCCCATGCCCCCCGCGCAGGCGCCCTAGGGCTCTCGTGCGGCAACGCGGTGGCCTCGCGGCAGCCCATAGAGGGCTCCTCCGTGGTGGTCATGGACCGGCGGCTCGGTTCAGCAGGGCGGTGGTTGGGGCGGTGGCTCGGGAGTCGGTCAAAAGGTGAGTTGAATTCGTGGGACTACACCTGCGAGGTGAACGAGAGGCGAGAGACAAGTTCCGTTCGAACTTCAGATGACTATACTCTTGATATCCTCATCAAACGAAGTCACGAACAGGCCTGTAAAATGTCATGGACTCCAAAAAAAA